CGGAGGAAGTAGCAGTCAGCATGTGAGGAGTAGCGGGGGCAAAGTTTCCCTACTCGGCGGGCCCCTTGTTTGGCAATTTTTTCGTCAAGCCGCCCGAGGAAAGTAAACGTGAGCCGTTATGTCGACTATGTGGCCAGAAAGTCAAGCGTGGCCAGGGGGCCCATGTTGGGACACAGCGTTGCGTCTGCATATGCAGCGTCGCCATTTGGTGGCCTGGGAAAACCGTGATAAAGATACGGCGGTTCTGCCTGCCCCAGCCCCCGCTCCATCACCCGCTCCGTTACTTGCTCCGTCACCCGACGTCAATCGCCCTCTATCAGCCAGTCAAGGCTCCAACACCTCTGTGAGGGGAGTTGTCGCTCGTTGGCATCTTCGCTCGTTCAGATGCTCCTTCTCCTGCTACTCCTCTTCACGGATTCCGTCAGCAGTCTTTCTTGGAATCCGTTTCCAAGAGACAACAGTTTGCGAGCAGCACCCGACGGTGCAGAAGCTGAACGTCCTCCTGTCCAAGTTGCTGGTGCTGCAGTCCCTCCCTTTCCAAGTGGTGGACTCAGCACCTTTCCGAGAAATGATGGCTTGTGCCGCGCCGCGGTGGAGAGTGCCAAGCCGGCATTTCTTTCGCCAAAAAAAGGCAGTGCCAGCCCTGCATTCACATGTAGAAGAGATGGTGGGCCAGTCTTTGAGCATGTCGGTCTCTGCCAAAGTGCACGGCAGCGCCGACGTGTGGAGCTGTAACTACGGTCAGGGACAGTACATGTCATTTACGGCCCCACTGGGTGAACGTGGTGCCGGCACAGCCGCACCAGCAACTTGGACAGGTCACGCGCTTTTGCCTCCACGTTTGCACGTCCTTGGTCCAGCAAAGATGTCCGCCTCTACCACCTCTTCTTCCGCCGTGTCCTCAGCCGCCACCCCCGTGCCAAGTCCCATTACCCGACCGGCATATCACATGTGCAGGGCGCAACGGTGTCACGCTGTGCTGCACCTGGTATGCCTTGGCGAACGTAGTCACACAGGGGAGGAACTTCTGAGTGTAATGAACAGAGAAATCGACAGATGGCTGTCTCCGCGCAAAACTGAAAATCGGAACCATGTTGACCGACAACGGAAAGAACACACATGGTGTCTGCTCTGCGTCAAGGAAGGTTGTGCCATGCGCCATGCATGGCTCACGTGTTCAATCTGGTTGTCAAGCGGTTCCTAAAATCCACCATCCCACTGCAAGACATCCTTAAAATGTCACGTAAACTTTGCATGCATTTCAGCCCATTCCTACACGCAAAGCACACCCTCCTTGAGCTGCAGCGGCAGAACGGAATTCCACAGCATCGCTGATCTGCGACGTTGCAACAAGGTGGAATTCAACCCTACATATGTTAGACCGCCTTTACGAACAGCGAAAAAGCCCATCACCGATTTCCTGATGTTACAAGCGGATAAAGGTACTCCCCTGTGTAACTTAGATGTCAGCCATTGGCAGCTCATGCGTGACACCTGCCGCTTGCTCAGGCCCTTTGAGGAGGCCACGCTATTCGTGAGTCGGCAGGACTATGGGATGAAACGACGTCATTCCTCTGTTGCACGTCCTGGAACAAATGCTGTTAACAATGGCTGGTCAGGGTGCGGTAGACGTGGCGCACAGATCTCAACGCCACATGACCCCTGTGGGGGCAGGACAGGAAGAAGAGGAGGAGGTAGAGGAGGACATTGGTGCTCAGGAATTATTGAGTGAAATGGGTGGTTTTTCCACTCAGCGGACAGGAGTGGAGGAGCAGGAGCATCTGGTAGAGGAGGAGGAGGAGGAGACAGAGGACCCAGACGCACCGTGGCAGTATGCTGTGGAGATGGAGGCAGGGAGTCCCTCGCATTCCTTGGCACAAATGGCCCATAGCATGCTCGGTTGCTTGCGTAGCGACAGCCCCGAATAATAACCATCAGACAGAGGGATGACTTTTGGCTGTCCACCTTGTTGGACCCTCGCTACGTTCAAAATGGTGGCCTTTTCACACCTGCTGAGAGGGAGGCCAAAATAACGTACTATAAAAAACCACCTATGTAGTCAGTTGGTCTCTGCCTTTCTGCGCCAACGTCCATCCTCAGACACTGTGGGCCCTGTGCGCTCGCGTTCCGCTGCCATGGCAGCAGGGGAGGGGTGGGGTGGTAGGAGCAGTGGCAGCTCCACCAGCAGCGGCTGCCTCAGTCTGCAGTCGATGATGAGTAGCTTTCTTCACCAGCGCAGTGAGGAAACTACTAACCAGCCGCAGCCGCAGCAGCATCAGGTGGACCTGGAGCAGGACTCAAACAACAGGCTTGGGCCTACTTGGACAGCACCCTGCCAACCGAGGTAGACAATCCCCTTGACTACTGGGCAACGAAACTTGACCTTTGGCCCCAACTAGCTGAATTTGCCTTGAAGGCTTGTCAATGCCCCTGTAGCGTGGCTCGGAGCGGGTGTTTAGTGCGGCAGGAAGGGCCGGTACTCCGCGGGAGGACACGAGCTGTCCACCAAAGTGTGGCAGACTTCACGAGCGCTCGTGTTGAAAATGAATAGTGCGGGCAGGAGAGGTATTGGATTTCGCGGAGGACCACGACTGACACAACTGACTAAATCCGGCATGAATGGATGAGACCACGTTTGTGCAATTACCCATGTCTCCTCATGGCAATTTAAGTGGAGAGTGGCACTATACGTGGGAGCTGGCAGAATGTCACGGGCTTTGCTAAGTCAATAAAAACCACCCATGTTCCTGACACAAAACACTGACTAATGGGTCCCTGCCACGGCCTCCATGCCTGTCTCCATCGCCACATGCCATATTAGGTTCCTAACATGCAGGTGGCCTTTGTATGGCTTCAATTTAGGGCTGCCCCATTACGCTTCCAGGCACTCTAATCTGCCATGGGCCCCTGTACCGCCTCCTCTTGCTGCTGCCAGGGTCCAGAGTGTGTCATGGGTCCCTGTACGGCCTCCCATTGCTGCTGTCTCCATCGCCACACTCTGCCATGTGCCACTTTCAGGTCTCCTCACAACTGCTGGTGGGTTCCATTTTGTCATAGGGTGCTGGCAGACAACGGGCCTCCCATGGCTGCTGCCAGCCCGTAATCTGCCATGGGGTACCCGCTCCTCATGCTGCTGCCAGGTCCCGTAATCTGTCATGGGCCCCCTGTACCGCCTCCATTGCTGCCAGTAGTCCAGAGTGTGTCCATGCCTGCTGCTGTCCTAATCGGCACACTCCTCCCAGCTGCTGTGGCAGTCCCGTAAATCTGCCATGGGCCCGTTCCATTTTGTCATAGGTCATGGGCACCCTCCTCCCATGCTGCTGCCAGGCCCGTAATCTGCCACTTTCATCTCCCTAACACATGGTTAATCCATTTTTTTGTCCACTGTCAGATTAGTGGGCCTCTTGGTATTGGCTGCTGCCAGGCCTGTAATCTGCCATGGGCCCCTGTACCGCCTCCTCATGCTGCTGCCAGGTCCAGAGTGTCTCATGGGTCCCTGTACGGCCTCCCATTGCTGCTGTCTCCATCGCCACACTCTGCCATGTGCCACTTCAGGTCTCCTCACACTGCTGGTGGGTTCCATTTTTTGTCATAGGGTGCTGGCAGATTACGGGCCTCCCATTGCTGCTGCCAGGCCCGTAATCTGCCATGGGCCCCAGTACCGACTCCTTCATGCTGCTGCCAGGCCCGTAATCTGTCATGGGCCCCTGTACCGCCTCCTCATGCTGCTGCCAGGTCCAGAGTGTGTCATGGGTCCCTGTACGGCCTCCCATTGCTGCTGTCTCCATCGCCACACTCTGCCATGTGCCACTTTCAGGTCTCCTCACACTGCTGGGTGGGTTCCATTTTGTCATAGGGTGCTGGCAGATTACGGGCCTCCCATTGCTGCTGCCAGGCCCGTAATCTGCCATGGGCCCCCGTACCGACTCCTCATGCTGCTGCCAGGTCCAATCTGTCATGGGCCCCTGTACGGCCTCCTCATTGCTGCTGTCTCATCGCCACACTCTGCCATGTGTCCACTTTCAGGCTCTCACCTGGTGGCGACTGCGGGTGTATGGCTCCATTGCTGTGCTCCATAATTGTCATATGGGCCCCCGATTACGGGCTCCTCATAGCTGCTGCCAGGCCCGTAATCTGTCATGGGCCCTGTACGCCTCCTCATGCTGCTGCCAGGTCCAGAGTGTGTCATGGGTCCCTGTACGGGCCTCCCTTTGCTGCTGTCTCCATCGCCACACTCTGCCATGTGCCACTTTCAGGTCTCCTCACACACTGCTGGTGGGTTCCTTTTTTGTCATAGGGTTGTTGGCCAGGCCCGTAATTACGGGGCCCCAGTACCTCCCATTGCTGCTGCCAGGCCCGTAATCTGCCATGGGCCCCCCCTGTACCCACTCCTCATGCTGCTGCCAGGGTCCAGGTAATTGTCATGGGCCCCAATGGGGTGTGTGTACCGCCTCTCGCTCATGCTGCTGCCAGGTCCAGAGTGTCTCATGGGTCCCTGTTACGGCCTCCCATTGCTGCTGTCTCCATCGCCACACTCTGCCCGATGTGCCACTTTCAGGTCTCCTCACACTGCTGGGTGGGTTCCATTTTGTTCATAGGGTGCTGGCAGATTACGGGCCTCCCATTGCTGCTGCCGGCCCGTAATCTGCCATGGGCCCCCGTACTCGACTCCTCATGCTGCTGCCAGGCCCCGTAATCTGTCAAGGGCCCCTGTACCGCCCTCCTCATTGCTGCTGCCAGGTCCAGAGTGTGTCATGGGTCCCTGTACGGCCTCCCATTGCTGCTGTCTCCATCGCCACACTCTGCCATGTGCCACTTTCAGGTCTCCTCACACTGCTGGTGGGTTCCATTTTGTCATAGGGTTGCTGGCAGGCCTCCATTGCTGGCTGCCTGGCGCCATATTCTGCCTTTGGGCCCCTCGTACAACTCCTCATGATGGTATGCCAGGCCCGTAATCTGTTCATGGGCCCCTGTACCGACTCCTCATGCTGCTGCCAGGTCCACGTAATCTGTCATGGGCCCCCTGGTACCCGCCCATTGCTGCTGTCTCATGCTTGCCTGCCAGTTCAGAGTGTGTCAGTGGTCGCTGTAACGGCCTCCCATTGCTGCTGCCAGGCCCGTAATTGCCATGGGCCCCCGTACCCGCACTCCTCATGCTGCGCCAGGCCCTTAATCTGTCATGGGCCCCTGT